GAACAACATCAAGCTCATCATCATAAGCAAGAACCCAAAAAGACATCCAACCCAAAGCAGCACCAGAGCCTGCCTTAACAAGATGCAAAATCTGCAGGCATATTGCCCCCACTGTGATCATTAATACCCCTCCTACAACATACCTTTCAAGATCAATTGGCCCTACACGTGCTGATCAGAACATGTGGTATAACTCATGCAGGGCACTACATGTCCCAACAACAACTATGAGGGTCAAATTAGACTATCATAATCTTTCAGATGATCTCACACAGAAAAATAATAATGCACGAAACCAACATATCACTCATTCACAGGGTTGCCAGGTGTCCGGTATTGACCTGGACAGTCCAGTATTTTCACCTCCTGTCCGGTAAAAAATTTCAGAAAATACCTGACGCCTAAAATGTCCAGTATTTTCTGATTTTTTTCCAAGCCCGGGGGCAAAAATACCGGACTGTCCGGAGCAATACCAGACACCTGGCAACCCTAAGTAACCGGGCCCAGCCTGCCCGCTTCCCAACCCCCCTTACCTGGTTCTGCAGGGGAGCTGTCTGGTCTGGAGCAGGGAGAGAAGGCAGAGAAGATGCCCACTGCCACCACCGCCTGCCTGGGAGTAGCATCGCAAACAGCTTCCTCTCAGAAAGTCATACCTAGGGCATATTGAGCATGTGTGGTGAAACTGAGCAGCCAGTTAAGAGTGGCAGAGCCCAGCCCCTGCTCTAAAAAGGGGTCATGCTTTTTTTTTGTTTTTTTTATTTCTTTATTTTTTTTTAACTTAATAAGTCTTGGAGTCCTTTTTTTTCCCTCAACAACTTTGGTCCCCCCCCCCCCATTTTATTTCAACAGAATTTTTTCCCCAGTGTTTTTCTTTGGGGAGTAGGGAGGTGTTTGGTATTTTTGGTTAATCACCCCTTAACTACTCTCTCTGTCCTTGTACTCAAAGGCAGTCTACACAATACCTTAAAATGACAAGCATGAGAACTTATATTCTTAACTCTGTTGGAGACTAAAAATAATGGATTCAGTAAAGACTCATTGGCGGGGCTGGTTCTTTGTCTCATAGAGACACAGCAGTCAGAACTCAAGCAATTAGACTTTATGCCAGAGGTGAGGTTATAACACTTAAGAGATGAGTTAGGTTTATATGGAAAGTTTAGTAAAAGGCAAGGTAAAGTTTCTCAAGTAACTGCCAGAATTTTTTTCAATACCATGTTCTTTCTCTTCCACTCTTATGTCCAGAATTTCCATTTATGACAGATTTCAGGCTTTCAGTGTAGAACTGTGTGGAAGCAGGCTCCTAACATAAGTGGAGGCAGGTCAAAGGGGAATACTGAGTGGGGGCAGGATAAGCATGTTTAGGTGGGAAAAGAAAAACTGTAACATGTTTGGCTCTCAGCCAAACATGATAGCTGCTGTATCCTTCCCAGCAACAAGTTTGGGCATGTCAAGTAGTGGTTGTTTACTGCGCTGTATAAAAGAGTTCACCTGGCTGCGTCCAGTAGAAATCCCCTTGTGATTTCTCCACAGCGCTGTGTAATAAAGTTCGGTTCATCAGGTCTCCGGCCTCCGTATTGACTTTTCTGCAACAATTGTATACTACTTCATCAAGAGACTTGTAGAATACTGCAGTAGATATACCCAAATTTAAAATAAAAAAGAAGAGCCACTTACTTGCAAACAATGGAATTTCTAATTTCTTAGAGGAAATATGGAATTTTGCAACTTCTGTGGACGTATCACAGCACAGTAATTGAAGTGAATTAGAAAGTATTTTAAACACAGTTTGATTCACATTTAAAACATCTGTTGAATCTTGTTGTGGGAGTTGCCTTCAATCCTATACAACTGACATGGAAATTCCAATCAAAATACATATTTTCCGAACATCGTGGGGTCCGGGTCTATCTGCACAAAAATCCAATGACTCCACACAACTGCCAGCCTCCTCTCTGAACTCTGCTTATTTGTTGGGGCAAAAAAGGGCTGCTGTACCATGGAGAAACTTTCATATATCAGTTTTGGCTTAATAAGCATTAACTTGCATGAAGATTCCACACCCATTTTAAAGGCTGGGGGGCTTGCCAGGCCCGGGTCCACAGACTTGAGGAAGCAGGGCTCACACTAGTGCACTAAAAATGGCTAAGTACATGATGCTGCGTAGCTTCAAGGCCCAAGTTCCAGCCCAGCCCACATCATCAAACACCGTCTACAAACCTAATTTTAACACACAAGCATGGCCCCTTCACCATCAAAAAATCTGTGACCAGGCTGGGAGGCTCACTCCCAAATCCAGCATAGCTATAGCCTATGTAGTTTACAGTGACTTTAAATTAAATGGAGAACTGGAATAGATTTGATATTATATTGTGGTTTTCTTCTAAGAGAAAAATTCAAGCCATTTTGCAGTCCACATTATAGTGGAGTCTAATTGTATAAAGTAGTCAATTGGCATCTTTGACAAAATAAAGAGCTAGTATAAATGGTTCCCATTTCCTTCTATCAGAGAATGAAATAAAAAAAATCACACTGATGTAAAATCCAAACTCTTAAATGGATAGTTGGTATTACAGAATAACAGGAAATGACTTTTATTGTAAGTACATATTGAAAGCATTCTGTTATAAACGGTAATATTCAGCTAAATGATTTAATGCACATTTCAAACAGCAGGAACATTTGTTTATCATCTACCTAAGTAGAAAACTCAGCATAGTACCATTTTTCTCCTCTTGGTGGTCTAACTAAGCAGTACAGTAATTCCTCTTTTAACACTATAGATATGTTTCAGAAAATGATCGTGTTAAGTGAAAATGTGTTATGTGGGGTCAATTTTCCTATTGAAAATAATGGAAAAGGTGGGGGTTGCGTTTCAAGCGGTGGTGTCTGTTGGGACCGGGATATAAGGTTGGGGGAGAAAGGGGACTGGGTTACAGCAGGGAGGGGAGGTGTTTGGCTCTGGGGAAGGGAAGGGTAGGAGAGGGGAGGGGGATTGGGTTGGGACTATGCCCCTGTGATGGGTCTTCTGGGACTCTCACTGTGTCTGGCAAGGGGGGGTCTCCAGGGAACGGAACGGTGAGCAGCGAACCCTCTGCCACTTTGCAGGGAGGCGGGGGAAGCCCAGCGCAGCTACTGGCAACGGGCTGGCTGGGGAACCCCAGCCGCCGGTTTGCAAGTGGGGGCGGACGAGGGGGGGCAAGGTGTCCAGCAATGGGGAGTCAGCGGGGAACAGCGCGGCGAGCAGTGAACCCTCCGCCACTTTGCAGGGAGGCGGGGGAATCCCTGCACAGCCGCCCGCAACAGGCCGGCTGGGGAAATCATGTTATTCTGGGGATGGTCATGTAATTTAAAAAACGTTCCCTAAAAAAAAATCGTGCTATTGCGAAAATGTGTTAAACAGGCACATGTTAAACGAGGAATTACTGTATTGAGTTACAGTAATGACTCAAAGTCAAATTAGAAAGCGAGCAACACGAGTACCAACTAAGTTAAGTAAATCTACTGGTTTGTCATGATGACACCAACCCTGGGCTATTTACTCTTTGAAAGATTTGTTTATTGACTTCATCATATAAAACCACACACATTTCTAAGAATTCATTTTAATAGCACCCTCAGAAAAATGTATAACCAAATCATTGGGCTATATTTAGTATTTGTCTTCTTTCTGTCTTTTTTTCTTCTTTTTATGAAGATGCAAAACCCAGAAGCCTGATTCCTTTCTCTCTTGGGTGGAATTATCACGAGTAACTTCTATTATCTCAGGAGGGTTTTCTGCCTCTATGATCTTCATGAGAAAAGAATAGGCTCACATTAGACAGCATTTAACTTTCATACAAAGTTGGGTAGATTTTGGTTACACTTCAGTGAGGAAAGGGTGAGAAGAGGAAACATTTGATCTTCACTTTCTATGACTGATTCACCACTGGGTTACTACATTTCTCCACCAATGTCATTTAAATGAAAATCAGCATAATCCTGAAGGAAGAGTGGAGAGTCAACATCTACACATTTAATTTGTATGATTTATTTATTCTCTGTTTCATACATGAGTAAAAATTACTCTTCTCCTTAACAAAATAATGGACTTGATTCAGTCTTCAGTTTCACTAGTTTTACAATACAGTAACTTCATTAAATGGACTCAGTCTTGATTCATGCGCGTATAAGTGAGAACAGAATGAAGCCCAATTTCAAAGACTTTAACTAGGAGTATGATGCCCAGTACAGAAAATACCCAATTCATATTTCACAATTAGGGAGATCACATCTTCTTGTTCTTGTAATGCTGTAGTTGTATTTACAGTTTTGTTAAAGCCTTCTACCTCAGGTGAGGAGGAGGAACAGAAAAATTAGGGAGATAAGACTTAAGAAGAGGGAGTAGATACTTTATATTTCTGAATGGAAGAGGGAATACCATTTATGTTAAATGAAAAGGACAAATTATTTTTCACTTGTATGTTATCCAGCCACAAAAGCAGGTTTCTTTCCTCTGTGGTATGTGTAATTTGTACTAGTATTTTATTGTCCTGAATTCTTTGATTTAGAACTACATGAAGACATATTCTATATCTCCTCTTTCCACTCCAGTGTAGCCGTGCTAAAATACAAAGGAGTTGGACAGCATTCAGTAAGTTCTTTACCTCTTAAATAGTCTGTTCTTTTACTCAGTGGCTACGTGTAGACTGGCATGATTTTCTGCAAATGCTTTTAACGAAAAACTTTTCCGTTAAAAGCATTTTTGGAACAGAGCGTCTAGATTGGCACAGACACTTTTCCGCAAAAGCACTTTAGATGCGCTTTTCTGCAAAAAAGCCCCGATCACCATTTTTGCGATCAGGGCTTTTTTGCAGAAAACAAAGCTGAGGTGTCTACACTGGCCCTTTTGCGCAAAAGTTTTGCGCAAAAGGACTTTTGCCTGAACAGGAGCAGCATAGTATTTCCGCAAGAACACTGACAATCTTACATGAGATCGTCAGTGCTTTTGCAGAAATTCAAGCGGCCAGTGTAGACAGCTGGCAAGTTTTTCCGGAAAAGCGGCTGATTTTCCTGAAAAACTGGCCAGTCTAGACACAGCCAGTGTGTATACTGATCACACCAGACAGTTTTCCTGCAAGTAAAACCCTCCCTTTAAAATTCTTACCCGTGTAGCAATGTATGTAGTTTTAAAGCTAACTATATAATTAACTCAAAGAATGATTACTGCAGCTGCAGCCATTCATTCGAAGGTAAATGTATTTTGGGAACCACAGTAAGGGCATGCATGCACTAGGAAATTATTTCAAAAGAACTTATTTTGAAATAACTCCCCAAATAACTGTTTTGAAAGAG